GTTTTCTAAATTTGTTCTTGAGTTCCCTGAAACTAAAATCACTTCTGACTCAAACCTCGAGCATTCCTTTGAAGCCATTATTAGAAACTAGCAATGATGACAAGCCAAATAATTAAAATCAACTGCTGAGCTGTCCTGGAGACACAAACAGCAGCCCCCGGGTCTCTAGATCACAGCAACAACTGTCAAAGGAACTTGGCTCTTGACTGTAAGGAGAAGGGAAAGAGAAAATTAGTTGTGCAGGCTCTGCTATGGGTCTCCATAATCAGCTCACCAGTGAAGGCAGAGGGTCTACCATTCATCCCCAGAATCTATATGACAAGCTGAGCGTGACAGCATGCCCTGCAGTGCCCAAGCTGGGCATGGGGACATGAGTGGATCCCTGTGGTTTATAGGCCAGCCAGTCTAGCCTCATCACTGAGCCTCAAGGCCTGATGAGAGAGCCTGCCTCAAAGAGTAAAGTGAAGAGTGATGGAGGAAGACACCAGATACCATCCTCCATTTCATGCCCACATGTGCAACACCCCCCCACACACACAGACAGATGCACACACACACACTCATGGACATACCAAAAATATCTGCCCTTAGCTCACCTGGTAGCCAACACAGAAAGACAACTGATCGCTCAGCTCTTGACTAGCCTCTGCTCTCCCAGTATGGAAGTGGGGAGTGAATGGACCTGTCCTTCCTGGTGCTGGAGTATAAAGTAGCCATGGACTGGGTTGGAGCTCCAGTACATGCCGTGATAATGGGCTGATAAAAGAACACGGTGCTGACCTTTTGGAAAGATGCCCCATTTAACAGGCAAGCACACAGATTTAAGCAACTGAGTGTATAATGGTACATGCCACATGAGAGGAAGACACCAGACACCCCTGCTGTCATGACGCTCTGCCTTGCCTCCAGCCCAAAGCATTGGAACCAGATGACTGAACTCATGAGCCAAGGTAATCATTTCCCCCTTTAACTTGATTTCATTCAGGTATTTTGCCACGGTGGTGATGGTAGCTAACAAAGGTCCATAACTTATGGTGAAGCTCAGAGGCTCAGGGATTCATCTGTCTACACAAGTAGGTTTTACACATTAACTCAAGCGTCTTGGGTAAGTACCAATGCCCTCAGGTGTGTGGTCACACTGCAGAACACTCCAGAGCCAAGCTACCCATTAATAAGCCTTCTTTCTTCTTTCTACATTACATCACAATTTTTTTTTAACAAGTGCCATCCTCAGGATGTACAAAACTGAAGCAGTAAAGACAAAAACTTCAAAAAAAAAATCAATTATCCATTAAGTCATTGTGGAAAGTCTATCTGAAAACCCAGAGAATTGGAGAATGTCAAAGATGCAACTAAATTTTTAATAAACCATAAAGGATGGTGTTAAAAGAAGAGACCTTTTCAAAGGAGGCTGGCACTGGACAGCCTCTCAAAATGACTCTTGTCAGACAGCATCCCAGAGCTGACAGGAACCGTGGGTGAGTTATCCTCTTCAGATGACAACAGAAACCAAGGACTTGAGAGATAAACCTTGCCGAGAACTTCAGAGTTATGTAATTTTGTTTTCCAGACAGGGTTTTGTATAACTCAGGCTGGCCTCAAACTCGCTGTGTAGCTAAGGATAATCTTGAACTTCTGATCCTCCTGCCTCTACCATCCAGCGTGCTGAGAGTACAGGTATGTGTCTCAATGCCCAGTTTATGCAGTTCTGGGCATCAGCCTGAGGGCTTCATGTATATTAAACTATACCCCACCCCTGGAACAGCACCTGAGCCTCTGTACTTAGGCCTTTGGTGATGTCCTACAGTGCTAAGGATTTACAGAGCAGCCAGGTGCTAAGTCGCTTCTCTGCTGTTGTATAAAATGCCTGCTCAAGAGTAGCTAATGAGGAAGGGCTTATTTGGGTTCGAAGTTTAAGAGCACATCTAAGGGAAGAGAACTCAAATGGCAGGGGCTTGAAGTCTCTGTTCACATAGACCCCATGTCCCCGTACAAGGAAGAAGAGAGGGTTGAAGGAGTCTATTTAGCTATTTATTGTAATCCAGGAGCCAATCAGAAAATGCTGCCCTGGCTTTTAGGGTGGGTCTCCCCACCAACATGAATCTAATTAACATATTCCCTTCAGGTGTCCAGAGTCGCAATAATCCCCCACAGGTTTGTCTTCTCAGTGATTCCATTTGCTATCAAGTTGAAGATTAATACTAGCACGGAAAGTGTCAGTCACAGTTTCCCACTGTGGTCAGACTTGAACCTGTGTACCCAACCTTCTGCCCAGGCTCTCCCCTGCCTGACAGGAGCTAAGCCTGAACTAAGCTAATCCTCTTAGTTCAGCTCCCGTTCTCTTCCTAGACGATCCTAACCACAGCCCAACATCTGTAACTGGTCACCTCAGAGCCTTGGGGTTCCCACTGGCCTGTCTCCTCCATACGTCCTAGCCAGTCCATCTGCCCCAACCTTAACAGCCAGGAAGATAGTGTGGTTGTGCTCTGCCCAGGTGAGGCTCCTCCAGAGGCAGCCTGGTACCCAGTGCGTTGTTGGAAAGCCTGCTTCGTAGACATTTTCAAGTCCCTTGAGGGAACAGACACTACTCTGACATACCATAAGCCAGTATCCTCACTGGACCTGACTCTGAGCCCACTAGATGGATCTTTATTCTTATTAGTTAACTAAAGGTCTTGAATGAGTGACTATACCATGGCTGACAGGGAGACATAGGTAACCCTGCTTCTGCAATGATTGGTATTTTACAGGCTGGAGGCGGTTCAGGAGTCCTCGGACTTCCAATGGGCAATTTAAGATTCTATGGATATCATGACAGGGGCCCCCAACGGTGCAAATCCAGTTAGATCTTTTTGCACAGTGTGCTGGGGTTCTGTGTATAAGACTCTACTTAGAGACAGACTAAATTGGGAGCTTTAGGGATATTAACCAAGAATGTCTTCATCTGACCCAGAAAGGGCTGAAGGGCCAGGAGGAAAATGGCGGAGAGACGGGCAATAAGGAAAATTCTAAGAAAAGCAGCCTATTACATGATCAAAATTGCTTTAGCTGTGATGGAAATAGCCAGAGAAACACATTTGTCTCCACCCAGAAAAAAAGTCTGGCTTAAAAGTGATCTGGTGCAGTCTTTTTGGTGAATTCCATATGTACGTGACTATAATAGCGCAGACATGGCTACACACGGTGGCTTCTTTGCACAAATAAGAGTTATCAAGTTCCCCAGAGGAATAACCTCAATCTGCCCGTGTTCTCCGCCTCGGCAAAACTGAAGCCGGGAGACAGCAGAATAACAGCCACATGGGCCTTAAGAGAAAACCGTCATGACTCTAGAGAGCCTTGGCCAGCTGCACCGATCCTGTCACAGACACCAGATGGGTTCAACGAACTCTGTGGATTTGTAAAACAAATCGCCTAGGACAGCCCCCGGGGAAGGCAACTGCACATGCTCTAGGAGAGCTCCCCGCTCCCCCTCCCCCGAAGGCGATTGCTCACGCTCAACTTTCAGCAAAAGATGGATGGGAATGATTAACAACCCAAGACTGACAAAGTCATGGTTGAAAGACCTAAGGAGCCTGGCCTATACAATGGCCCCCATCTGTCAAACTCTCAGAAGGCCCGAGCGTGATACTGAAGCCAACAGCTGTGTGCATGGTTCATAGAAGTCTCAAAAGAAACCGATGGCATAGTAGTCCTATGTCAGCCATGAGAAAACCAAACAGTATTTAGAGATAACCTCGGAGTCAGTGGGTGGCCGAGCTCGAATCCCACACTGTCCCCAGCAGCTTGGGATCCTTCATTTGTTTATTTTTGTAGTAGCCTTAGTGTTTGTTATTTTATGTTTACCTGTGTCTTCCTGATGCTCTAAAAGAAATAGTATTTCTTGTATTTAATAGTGTCTGTTTAAAAGATAGTATCTTTTAAATAAAGCACCAATAAGTCTCCTGCCACTATGTTACATCCAAAGATAAGTTGTAATAGGAAGAGGTCTGTAAAGGTCTCAGACAGAGGTCCCTACAAAGAAAGCATGAAACGTGTTAATCAAGGCAGAATTCCATACTGTTCTCTTGATATATGCACGGTGGGGTGCACGTTTGTGGGTGTACACGTTCCTGTGCGGGTCCGCATGTGTGCAACTCTGTGTAAAAGCTACAGATCAACCTTAGGTGTCATTTCTCAGCTCTGTCCATTTAATTTTTGGTAACAGCATCATCTCTTGCTGTCCTGTGACTCACCAAACTGGGGTTTCTCAACCTGTGGCTCATGACCCCCTTGGGGGTGGAATGACCTGTTCACAGGAGTTGCCTAAGACCACTGGAAAACACAGATGTTTACAGTACAGTTCAATCCAGTAGCAAAATTAGTTACAAAGTAGCAAAGAGAATAGTTTTATGGTTGGGGGTCACCGCAACATGAGGAACTGTATTAAAGGGTCACAGCGTTAGAAGGTTGAGAACCACTGCACACCAAATACGGTAATTCAATGACTCTGAGGGTCCTCCTGTCCCTGCCTCCCCAGTGCTGAGGTGACAGTCATATTTCATCATGTCTAGCTCTTTCACTTGGGTTCTGTGGGTAAAACTTGTATGTGCACAGCAAACCCTTCTCCGGCTGAGTTATTTCCCAAGTCCCTGAATTCAACATATCCTAAAAAATCATCAGTCAGAATTGGAGACATCCAGCACTTACAGGAGGCTCCCTCTATCCTAGTGATCAACAGAGGTTACGGAACTATGTTCCACACGATCTGGTACCAAATATGTAAAGAAAGGGACCCCTGGGTCCAAACAGCAGAGGCTATGTAAAGTAACTGGAATGGGGCACTGGGACTTGCCAAGATCATTGTAGAATGAATCACCCACAGCACAGAGTGGCCTCTGCTCCCTTCCAAATAGAACTCAGGTCACCACTGACAGTTATCCTTTTCCACTTGCTCAGCTGTGTGGACATCGAGTGGCTTGACCCTCAGGCAGGTGGCAAACAGCCCCAGGACCAGTCCTTACCTGGAATGTTGTGTATGGTGATAGCCAGTATGAGCAGAGCAATCCTCCTCCAGCTGCTCACCCCAGGCTGCCCTGAGTTCCCGTGCACAGGCCCTGAGAGGGGTGTGTTCTCTGGGAGGTCAGTAGCTGCCACCTTCTTCCTCTGGTATACCTCACCATTCTCACGCTTGTCTGTTCAAAAGAAGAATGGAGAGTGAGGGGCTGTAAAAATGCGCACACTGACTTCTGGACAAGCAGCTGCAAGAGGAAGCCTTCAAGCCAGGGACCATCCTACATCTAGACGCCCATGGGCCAGGAGTCTCTTGATGGCTCAGCCATTCCTTCGGACAGTCATTCAGCAAACACTCAGGGACCGGTGTGTGCCTGGAATCGTGGTTCTAAGACAGGTGAAGAGGATACCATACAGGAAGAGGGACACAGAGGACTGGCAGGGAGCACACATTGTGGGATCGGGTCATCATGTTTACTTCATGACCTGGCCACACAACAGCTGAGTGACACTTGCTAACCAAGTGTTTTCACAGCACTGTACTGTAATTCCCTGATTCAAAGCAACGGAGCATCGACCCTTGTCTGGGCAGGGTTATGGGGTTGTAGGAAGGGAGAGAAGTCCTGGGTGAATGGATGCTGTTGACTCGTAGGCATGGGCCAGGTCAAGTACCAACACCGGAGCCCCATGGGAGTAGCAAAGCCCTCCCTGGGTGAGTCCCAGAAGGGTGGCAAAGCTTCCCCGGGGTCTGAGTGTGAATGTGGACAGTGTGTGAAGAAAATGTTTACCAAAGCTCCCTCCTATCCCACCCCCCAAGTGTATGGCCCGAAGACTGCCCCCCTACAGACGCCTACTTGATTAGCTCAACCTATTTCCTTGTCCAGCTGTAAATAATACCCCTGCCTCCTTGATTCAGGGTAACACATGAATTTCTGGGGTGCTGCAGCATCTCCAGTAGAGAGCCCACCCCACCCAATACCAGCTTTTATATGGCAGCGTGTCTGTGTGTTTGCCATTTCTTCCTTCCCTCACCCCTCCAGTTAGATCAACCCTAGAACCAAGCAAGGAAGGCTCAACAACAGAGCGCATGGAAGTGTTTGGACTACTCTAAGTGCTGAATACACGGACTGATATCGTTAGTAATATGTCCCCTTTCTCCAAGACCTCTACAGAATTATGTATGTGACCCTGCTCCTGGTCATCCTGAGACTCAAAGGAAGCAAGGCAGATGTCAGGCTCAGCCAGTCAGATTCCCTCTCCTAGAAGACAGGGTGGCTTGCAGGAGTGGGTGCTGCGGCCGGCAGAGTGGTTTAAGAGCAGCTGTAGAAGAACAGGAGACAAACGCAGCTCAGCAGACAGACAGAAGGAAGAAGCAGTGCGCTCCAGTAAGCAAAGACAGGCAAAGCATCCAGCCAAACAGACAGACAGACAGAAATACATGGCAGCCCAGGTCCTGAGGACCGCTCAGGGTCTGAGTTCATAGACTGACCATCTGAAAATTCCCACTTTGATTTGGTTGACAGGTATGTAGATTCATGTTCCAAATTCCAGCCCTTGGGAGGCTGAGGCAGGAGCATTTCAAGCATAGAAGTAGGCTGGGATACATAAAAGACTCTGTTTCAAAAAAATAGTTCTCCTGGTTTGGACTCGAGTGTTGCTGCTTCTTACACTGTCATCTTAATGGTGTTTCTTAATGGGTGGCCTAAAGGTCCATTGTCCCCAGGACTGTTTATTCCTAATAGATATTTGAAGGTAAATGTGATCACAAGAACAGGAAGTAGGGTCTTGGTAGACACAGACCTAAGAGGGGCTTAAAGCATCTTGGGCAGAGCCTAAGAGCTAAAAGCATGGCAGCCACACACTGCACTTTGGGCTCACCCTCTCCGGAGAATTGCCATGACGATGATTATTCTAGTTCATTTCTGTAGCAGCGATAAAATACTCTGACAAGGGGGAGAGAAAGAGGTTATTTTGGCTCACAACTCCTTTGTTACGGCAAAGTCACCACGGTAGGAATTTAAAGAGCTAGTCACTTCATATGCACAGTCAAGGGCAGAGAGCAAGGCGTGCACACATGCTCACTGGCTTGGGCTCAGCTCCATTTCACCACCCCATTGTTCTGGATGCCTGCCTAGGGAATGGTGCCACCCACAGTGGAGTGCATCTTCCCACAACAATTAAGACAATTTCTCACAGACATGCCTACCGCCAGGCCAATCCCAATGTTGATAGTCCTTCTTTGAAACTCTCTTCCCAGGTGATCGTAGGTTGTGTTGTGTTGGCAATCAAAGCAGGTGCTGCTGCTGCTGTTTTGTGAAGTCCGTGGGCTTTGCCCTTGTTGGTAAGGATCTGACAGAGAGTGGCACCTTGCACTCCTAGGCAGATTGTGAACCTAATTCCCCCTCATGAGTGTCCAGGTTTGGAAGATCCCTAACTATGGGAGATGGTAGAAGGCTTACACTCTGGGACTCTGGGTACAACACCATAGTCCATGCCCTTGACTGAGGGTGACAGGGACCGTCAACATTCATCCTTCCCATCACCATTCAGGGAACTTCTTTCCTTCTGCTATGAAGATGAAAGCAGGGCAAGACCTTCCTCAAATCCAATATCGGTGACAAGGGGGCTGGTAAGATGCTTCAGTAATTAAGCCTGGCAACCTGGATTTGATGTCTAGAACCAACAGCGGAAGAGGAGAGCCAACTCCTAAGAGCTCTCTGACCTCCATGCTGTGGCTTTCGAGCCCCACACCGCTGCCACATACTAATAACAAATGAGATACAATTTAAAACAGAAACACAGAACACCTCTGGGATCTCCCGGCCCCTCACTGTATGTGCATATTTGATTTAATACCTTCTTTGTCACATCTAGCTACTATGGTTTGTCTCAACTTCTGAGGTGCTGGCCCTAAAGAACAGAGTCCCATGGGGCTGGAGAGATGGTTCTGCCCTTAAAAATATTCAAGTGTGGTTGCCAGTACCCCAACCATGTGGCTAACTTCCTGTAACCCCAGCTCCAGGTGATCCAGTGCCCTCTTCTGGCCTCTGGAGGCAGCTACACTCCTAGAGACATATACATATAATTTTTTAAAAGTCTTTTTAAAACGAGAAAGAAAGTGGAAGAGAGACAAGGGAAGGGAAGAGGAGTGGAGAGAATGAAAGGAGGGTTGGGCAGGCGAGAGGCAGCAAGGGGAATGAAGGAGGGGAGGGAAGGAAGGCCTTAAATTGATCCTTCACAGTGCTTAACTCATAGCTGGCCTCTAGAGAATGCCTCTCAGTGGGATAGCAGCTCTTCCTGGACAACCCTTGGAATTCAATCCAGGCTGTGCAGTGTCCACATTGTAAGAAAGAAAGTGTGTGTGTGTGTGTGTGTGTGTGTGTGTACATTCGTGTGCGATGTTCCTGCCCTTTGGTCCCATCTTCATTGTCAGACATACTAGGCAGGCTCCCTGAATCTATGCATAGGTGTTTCTGTGTGTACAAGACCAGAAGCAGTTTTATACACCTTAAGTTAAGGCTGAGGCGGGGACAGCAGTACCCAGAATTCCAAGCTCCCGGTCTAGAGGCTTGAGTGCTGTCCTTGAGCCTAGCACCTGCTTCCCTGCTTCCTCTTCTCAGACACCAAGGCTGGAATTCTCTCTTCCCTGCACTCCAATAGACGACACCTGCTGAGCACAAACCTGGAGCCATGAGCTGAGCACACAGTTGTCTGCTGCCCAGGACACAGCTGCCCCTGTAGCATGACAAGCTGTGACATCTTCTACATGGTGGAAGCAGGGTCATCTTGATCAGCCTCCACTCCACTGTGTAAGTCACAGCCCACACTGCAGCGGAACATGCACAGCTGGCCTGGGAGCATTACTGTCCTCAAGGATTCGAGACACATCTAGGGAGGTGAATACGGAGCTAGCCTCCTCTTTTGTAGCCCATGGTCCCAGCCACACCAGGACACAGATGGTCTGCGGTCCCTGAGCGGACTGGTTGGATCAAATGGGCCCAGTGATGGAATTTCAGGCCTCCCGTGAATACAGCAGTGCTAATTAACAGATCACCAGCCACGAGAGAGCGTGACTAAAACCCCCAGATCTCAGTGGAGATGAGTTCATTATGACAGCACAACAGGCGAATTCTTTACCTACTGAGCGCACACAGCTCCAGATCCCTGAGAAAGGTCTTGTTTCTAAGGCCCTGTTATGAAACACGATAATGAGTGGCCGGGGATGCAGGATGACTGTACTGTGTGCTAATGAGCAGCATCGGCAGCAAAACAGAAGAACGGGGGAAGAGGGCTGAGGGGAAGGGCTCACTCGGTATAGCTAGCGTTCTGCACGTGTGAGGACCTGAGTTCGGATCCCCAGAAGCCTTGTAAAAATCTGGCAAGAAAGAGGCTGGCAAGATGGCTGCCAAGTGTGATTCCTGGAACACATGTGGTAGAAGGAGAGAACCAATTTTCCTAAGTTGTTCTCTGACCTCCAAATGTGCACACTAAATTATATAAACAGATGTAATTAAGAAAACTTTAAGCCCGGCAGATAGCTGTAACTCCACTGGGAGCATGATGGGACATGGAGATTAAATGGATTTCCTAGAAGTTCGCTGGTCAGCTGGCCTGGCTTAACTCACTGGAGATTCAGGCCAAAGAGAGAGCCTGACTCAAAAAGGTGAGAGAAACCTAAGGAATAACCAAAACCCATGTAGGCCTGCATATCTGCACACACACAAGCATGGACGATCACGCATGTATGTTTTGCCTGCATGTATATATGTGCACCATGTACATACAGTGCCCACAGGAGTCAGGAAAAGACATTGGTTCCTTTGAAACTGGAGTGACAGATGGTTCTAAGCCATCATGTGGGTACTGGGAATGGAGCCCAGGTTCTCTGCAAGAGAAGTACCCTTTAAGGGGATCATCTCTCCAGCCCTCGGAACCCAATTCTTAGAGAGCATTGTTACAATGCACACTCATAACCCAGCCCCCCAGTTAAGCTGAAGACACTAAGGAGGGGGACATACTAGTGTCTCCTCTTCTTCCATGCTGTCTCCAGGTATGTATGCAAGCAAATAGAAAGCAAAGGTAGCTGGGCAGCAAGTGTCTGTGACTACAGTGTGGACAGCAATCTCCAAGCTCAACAGATAGCCCAGCTGAATCAATGAGCTCCAGAGTTAGTGACAAATCC